CTTGAGCTAAGGTGAATCCCCTGCCTTTCCCCGTCATCCGCAAAGTCGTTGAAGACGAGTTGTTGGGTGGCTTACCCCTAACGGAGGTCTTCGAGAGCTTCGACGAGCGGCCACTCGGCAGCGCATCCATTGCGCAGGTGCACCGGGCACGGCTCCGTGGTGGCCGAGAGGTTGCGGTGAAAGTTCAACGGCCGAACGTAGAGCGACGGCTCATGAGCGATATAGGTGTGATAAAGCAATTCTCGATGGTTACGCGCGAGATCTTTCCAGTCGACTACTACCTCGTATGCAGCGAGCTTGAAGAGCAACTGCAGGATGAGTTCAATTTTATGGCAGAGGCAAACGGAATGGATCGGATTGCCGACGCCTTGGACCGGAATAGACGCCACCCTCCTGTCCAAGTGCCCAGGAGTATCCCAGGCCTGACCTCAAAGCGAGTTCTCTGCATGGATTTTATTCCTGGAGCGCCACTGTCACAGCTGCGGGAAGAATTGAAGCGACGTGGCATTGAGATTGAGCCGGGTTCCTTAGCCGAGCAGGCAGGAAAGTGGGCAGCTGGGTATTTGGGAGAATTGGGAGACGATTTTCGAATCAGTTTCACACGGGATGCTGGGCTTTTCGCAGACGTCCCTGCAAGGTATTTGGGCGAAAGCTCCTTTCTGCACTCACAGAAGCCTTTGGGGTCATGGTGTTTGAGGAGGGGTTCTTCCATGCCGACCCACATCCTGGCAACATCTTCATCAGGCATTTGGGTGCACTGTCAGATGAGCAGGCGTAGTTACCATGAACCGGATCTTCTTGGTCTCGTTTGCTGGTGGGGCTGCTTGAGAGGCCGGACGGTTCGATAGCATTGATTGATTTCGGCCAGACCAAGCAGACACTTGGGCAGCAGAAGTTTCGTATCCCGGTGATTCGGGTGCTCGATGTGTCGCTGCAGGATCAATTTCAAGTTCCGCAAGCAGGCAGGGCGCTATGCCAAATTCAGTAGCAGTCGAGACTCGGCTTTTCTTTTGCCGATCTTTTGAGTGTTTGAGATTCACTCGATGCAGGTTGCTGAGCTGATGGTGAAGGTGGCACAGCACAACTCCTTGGACCCGGACCGACGCTCCTTAAACTCTGCTTCGGTCCGGAAGCGCTTGAGATGCTCAGGACTCAGAGCAGGCCAAGGAATGCTTAAAGTCATTGGGTGACTTTGCCAAGAGCATGGGTGGCGTGGCGGAAGCATCAGAGTTGGCATGAATGATGCTTGTTGCTGTACTTCTGATTCCACTCGTCGCGTGCCTTCCATCTTCATTCAGAATAGCTTGTGTCAGCAAATCCGGGCGATTATTTGCAAATCGAGTCAGAAAACCAACAGCTGCCTGTCGCAAACGGGTTGGCCTCGAGTCAAAAGCAAGCAGCCGCGCGTAGCACTTCCTTGGTGTTTGCAGTTTCGTGCTGGGGCTCCTCCGATAGTGGCTCTGGGGTTTGCTGACTGCGACTGTGCCGTTGATGACTTGCATCCGGCCTGCTTGCTGATTCTGCCCCTGATGCTGCGCCCGAAAACCAATGCTTTGTTGTTTATTAGGCGCTGAATCTGAACATGATAGAGGAGGCGAAAAGGCCGCGGCGCAAGGTGCGCGCAATCGCGGACCAAGGGAAGCGCAAGGTCTAAAGCTAGGGACGTCCTATGTGCATAATGCGGACATTTGAGAAAGACTGTCACACAACAGCTGCATGGTGAGTACGTATAGCCACTCCAAAAATTTCAACACACAGACCAAACTTGGCGCAAGGCGCGCGCAAGCACGCACAGCGATTTGAAGGTCTTGGCCCACTCTGCTCTCGGGGATGTCTTTGGCACGACTCTTTTAGAAATGGCTTGACGACGGTCAGCCTTTCAACCACCGTCCCTACAACAACAACAACAACTACTACTACTACTACCACCACTACTACGACTACGACTACGACGACGACGACTACTACTACGACGACGACGACTACTGCTACTACTAGTACGACTACGATTACGACTACAATTACGACTACTACTACTACCACAACAACAACAACTACTACTACTACTACTACTACTACTAATACTGATACTACTACTACTACTACTACTACTACTATTACTACTACTACGACGACGACGACTACTACTACTCCTGCTGCTGCTGCTGCTACTACTACTATTACTACTAGTAGTTGTTTGGTGTCCGGTCTGTGAGCTGAAGAACCTGGCACGCACACGTAGACAGTATGACTTGCTACATAGACGCGCTTGAGCTGTACACAGAAGCGTTAGTCTGCTTTTCCACAAGAGGTGCTCTGACTGGTGGTGTCCTTTACACTAGTATTGTTTGAGCTTGCTCAGTCACCTCTTTGTCTACCTCGTGAACCTTGTGGCCCCGCAGTGCTGACACAGTCGTGCCAAGTGGGTGACAAAAAACTACTACTACTACTACTACTACTACTGCCACTGCTACTGCTACAGCCACCATGCAGCTCAAAGCATGCTCAAACATAGCCATCGGTTGTATGAGCATTCGTCCGGTAGTTTCGTGTCATGCGATTACATTTTTGCATATTTGTGTGCTCGCGCAAGGGCACGCAAGGTCCGCGCAAGCGCGGGCCAAGGCTAAAACTAGGACACAGGAATATTGGACAACACCTATTATTTTGACTCTTTGTGCTGACTCGGAGCCTGCCCCTTCCATCTTGAGGAGTGGAATTTCTGCCTTCGGCTGGGCCTTGCTGTGCAGGAGCAACTCGCATCAGCGTTTGCTCCGTGATTGTTGCGATGCATGCAGCAGGCGCACTGGCGCTCTGGCTCTTTGACAGCAGCAGAAGACAGTTGCCTGATGGCTATGAAGCCAATGCTACTTGCTTGAACTGCTGAATTTATCTGGTTTGTCCGAGTTGTGAGAGCGTAGAGAGCTCAGCAGATTGGCAGCTGACAATCTCCTCCTCCTCAGAATGTAGCTTCTCGAGGAGCTGTCGCCCAATTGTCCTGTCCGCGATGCCATGCGCTCATCTGATCAGGACCCTTCGCACAGTTGCTGTTGCTGCCGTTTTTGCCTGGGCAGTTTACTCAGGTTGCATCGTTTCCGAGGGAGCCCTTTGGAAGCAGTGGGACAGGCAGGCTGCACTCTCCATGGGAGAGCAGCCTCAAATTCGACCGTCCTCGCGAGTTGTGGTAATATGTGCAGCGGTGTAGCCTCTGGCTCCGGCCTCTTGCTGGTTGTAATTATCTTGCTGGCCGGCGATTTCATAATGCGAGTTATATTCGCGAACTGTCAGTAAGTATCACGGCTGCTCTGCCGCCCGGTTCTGATGATCAGATCATGTTCGACTAGTGCCTGTCAAGCTCGCCTAGAACATAGTCCCTGAAATGCCATGCACTAAGGTTTGTGCTCCTTTGTCGCATGACGCTGCTGATTCGAGGTTTGGCCATGCGGCTAAATGCCATTTGCCGGCAATGCAGGGTTTGCAAGACTTCATCTGGCCTTTGGTGGTATGTGCACGTTCGCACAGCCAGTGACCTCGGCATTCGCAAGGTCGGCTGGTCGCTTGCCTGTGCCTCAGTCAGCTAGAGTACCGAAGCCGAAGGCAAGCTATGCCAACCTGTTGGCCTGTGGGACCCTTTTGACATCTTTTGACTCTTGAGATCCAGGCTGATGCCTGGCGAGACCAAGCCGAAAGCTTGTTGCAGGGCAACTTGCCTGGTGATGTGGGCAGTGTCGAGCCCAAAGAGTTCCTCGGTTTCAGAGTGGCCAAGGGCAAACCGGTGGGCAAGTCTTACCCACCCTCTCCTTGCAAGCACAACCAAAAGACTCTCGCATTCAACGGTGGTGCCTCCAGTAGGTTCGGCTCCCAAAACCTGTGGACCCATGCAGCTCAGCTCAGTTTCTTAAATTTCTCCTGAACTATTCTTTCCCCTTTGAGGACCCTTTGGAAGCGATTGTGGAAGATGATGTCTGCAAAAGGATAGTCAGGGACCGCCATTTATACAGCCATAGTCGAACGTTAGGAATTTTGGCAGGCGAAGCTCGGCCTGTGAAACACAGCGAGCTTCGCTCAGATTTTTCGCCTCAGCGGCATAGGTTGTCGCCGCGGACGCCCCAAAAATCATTGATCAAGTGCAGCGAGCCAATTGCGAGCCACTTGTTGCCTTATCCTCAATTCCCAGCACTGCTCCATGACATCAGGAGCTATTTCGACGGAGGGCACAAGCCGTCTCAGGTGCGTTCGTCAGAGAGAACAGCAACAGTGGAGGCAAGTTTCCAGCTTCACTTCCCTTGACCAGGCTGATGTTGCGCAGCTGGCACGGCTCTTTACCAGTGAGTTTTTCATGCAGTAGGACATCCATCTTCAGGGCGACTTTTGGGGCCGAGGCGGCGACCCCGGACAACGTTTCCTGCGAGCAGTTTCCGCACGTGGCACGCTGGTACAGGCGATTTGTCTGCACAGCACAGCCTAGCACGGAGCACACAGGGTTGACCTTGGTTCACGGCAAACGATGTGCAGATCCTGTGCCCAGGCACATCAGCTCCTTCACACCCACGCAGAAAGCTTCTTGGTAGAGCTTGAACAACCAAGCTCCCAAAATTCAATCGTCTTGGAGAGCCCTCAGCTACTCAGTGGAGTCTATCCTAGCCCATGTGAGACCAGAACCTCAAAAGGTCCACTGATGGGAGAGGCTCTGCCAAGCTCGGGACAGAAGTAAATGTCTTCTGCGTAACTTCACGCAGACAGTGAATCAGTTAGTGTTTTTTCGGGTTGCTCTCTGGGTGATCTTAACCCGGTTCAGTGAGCGATCAGCCGCATGCATGCGCTAGCACACGAGCGACGCGAAAACGAGATTGCAGAGAATGTGTTAGCCAGATACTGCCCCAAACCGCACTGCCCGTGAGACTGCCACGCAGCCAGAGACTGACTGGTGTGCAATGGCTGAGGCCACACCGCCGGCAGTCTCTTAGTGCTCTAGCTTCGTGCAGTCGACCTGCATAGCTATGGTGGCAGCTTTGGGGCCGATTCTGGATCGGTGTGATGTGCCGCGGATCGCAGCCAGTGGTCTGGCCTGGACGACTTTTGCGAAATACAGAGGTTCGCAGGGTGTCTCATCTGCCAGATGCAGTTCGAATTTTGTGCTCTTCGCCGGCTCACGCGATGTTTGGACTGGTTCCGCCATTTGCTAAGGTGTTCTCCTGACTGGCTTGTTTCAGGACAGCGAGCTATCGGCTTGGGGCAGCCAAGATGCAGACGGATTGCTATCCTCGCTTCACACGTGCTTAGGGGCGGGTCAATAATCTGAGAGGCCGAGAGATTATTATTTTTTGGCCTTGGACTTTAGGCGTGCTGCAGGCCATATGTGTTAGGGTCCGCTGGACATTTAGGCGGTGCACATCTCTGCAGATGGGTCATAGGCATAGGGCCTCGATGTGCTTTGTTCATTAGAGAGACTTGCTGGCACTTGACACTCCAGCATCGTCAGGTGAGGCGGATGTGCTGAGACGTCATGGCAATGAAAGCTTCTATGCTGACAATACCAGGGGCAACTACAACTTCCCGAAACTTGCAGAATATGTGACTGCACGTCGTCCCGAGCGAATGATTTTTGTGTCGGACACGCTGCGGGGTGCCTTTGGGAGAGCCTGGCGCATGGCAACCCACGGCCCACGCAGGAAACTTTTCATGGATTTTGCAGAACGGCCCATCTTTTCTGTAGGAGTGGCAGGTGGGGCCGTGCCGACTCACGACCGCCATCCCGAGACATGGCATGCTTTGCTCAATGGTGTCAAGGTTCCTTTGCTTGCAGAAGAACTGTTGCAATTATTTTGATGTGATCCGTGTTGAAAAGCTGTCGAACTTGTGCTCTCCGTTTTGCTCATCTTATATAGCTCCGAAGCCGCACTGGCACTTGTCTTGGAAAGTGAAGCTTGAGCATCTAGGCCTGGTGGCTGGGCAGGAAATCAGAGTCGGCTCTGTTCCGTGGATGGGAAGACCCGTGCGGCATGATCGAGCAGAGCCTTCAAGGTGAAGTTTTGCCATCTGGTGTCCAGCTGTGTGTGCAACATGCGGGTGAGGTCTTGTATTTCGGCACTGGGGTAGAGCATTCAACGTGTACCCTGAGCAACTTCAGCTTAGCAGTCGGCTCCCAGGGTCACACCGAGACTTGGCCAGAGCTGGTCAGGGCTGCCAATCGCGGAGACCTTGCAAGAGTAAAGCAGCTGCTGCGCCTGGCGCGCGCCGAAGAGCTGCAAGATCTGCTGTCGAAAAGTGCGGGCAGCTACGGCCACACTGCATTACATCGTGCTGCCCTCCATGGCTTCGAACGTGTTGTGGCCGTGCTACTGGAGAAAGGTGCCGAGGGCACTCAGCAGGACCTCGAAGGCTTGACTCCATCTTTTCTATCAGCTTTTAGCGGGCACAAGGAAGTGCTGCAGACTCTTCTCAAGCATGGGATCCAGCTCTCCCGCGAAATAGATACAAAGGGCGCCACACCTTTGCAGTGGGCTGCGACTCAAGGGCACCACGCCGTCGTCGATTTGCTGCTAACGCACAAGATGTCACCCGAGACACGGGATTTCCACGGCGGTGGGCCGGTGTCCGCATCGGCAACCATGGGACACGTGGAAGTGCTGCATCGGCTTGTTGAAGAGAAGGCGAACGTAGAAGAGTCTGATGACAGGGGTATGCGGCCGTTGCACTGGGCAGCTTTGCACGGTCATGGGCTCGTTGTGAAGCACCTGCTGCGGCTTCGTGCTCGGAATGACCCTTTCAACTCAGACGGGCGGAGGCCTTTGGATCTCGCCCTGGCACATTCCCGCCATGAAGTTGTGCAAGCCATGCAGACAGGACGTCGCAAGGAGCTATACAAGACTCAGAAGTTAGCACAACGCGAGCTCTGAGGTTCTGAGACTTGGGAAAACTGCCTCTCCGTCGTCTCCGTCGTCTGCTCCGCCTGCATCGCCTCGGAAGTTCCTGCTCGCATCGCGGAAGTGTGTGGCACATCGCAGGCCTGTGCCGGATGCCTAGATATGCATAGGCTACCGAGCTTTCGTCTGAGTGCGGCGCAGGAAATAGGAACCTAGCATGCGGCTCGCAAGAGACATTCGCGATGGTTGCTGTAGATGAGGATTCACTGCGAGCCCACACCCGACAATGCGACTGGGACTTTTGCTCGAGTTTGAGAGTCAATGCCAGCAAAACCTGACAGGCCAGTGACTATAGAATGCCACATAGCGGCCCGTCAAGCCGAGCTGTGATAAAAGTAGTCGCGGGCTGTCAAAGCAACTCTGACTGCAAAGCCATGCCGTTTGTTCAGATGTCATCGTCGTCAAGCGTATATTACCGCACCTTCCCGGAGGAAGCTCCTGCAGATCTGAGAGGGCGCCCGCGTGTGATTCTGCTGATGGGTCTTGGGGGGACTCACACTCTGTGGAAACCTCAGATTGGCCATCTCCAGAAATTTTGCCATGTCTGTGCCATGGACAATCGTGGTGCGGGCTATTCCAGCAACCCTAAGGGGGAGCGGTGGACAACACAGCGAATGGCACAAGATGCTGTAGCAGTGCTGGATGATTTGGGATGGCAGGGTCACGTGCATGTCGTGGGCATCAGCATGGGTGGAATGATTGCGCAGGAACTTGCAATTGCCGTGCCCGAGCGCGTAGCCTCGCTGAGCTTGATTGCCACCTACGCCTCTGTGTTCTGGGCCATGCCCACAACTGGCGCCCTCATCGACTTTGCTCGGTCGACAGGGCTGCTCACCAGGAATCTCAAGGAGATGGGCCGGGCGTCCATGCGATTGAATTTTCCAGATGCGTGGCTCAGCCAGACGAAGACTTCCGAGCTTCATGGTGGTGCGGTCGTTGAGAACCAACGTTGGATGAACAAAGCCTTCATACTAATGAGCTTGGAAGTTCCACCAGAGCTGAAGCAAAGGGGCAAGGGACCACCAGGGCGCGTCCATCCCAAGTCGATGTTCAAACAAGCTCTGGCAGTTCTGACACACAATGTTAGTAAGGCTCGCTGCAAGCAGCTGCGACAACTTGGCGTCCCCATTCTCGTCGTAACAGGAACCGAAGACTGCCTAGTGCGGCCAATGAACTCCGATATCATAGCGGACCACTTCGAGACGAAAGTGCATGCCATAAAACATGCAGGTCACGGCGTCATTTTTCAGGAAGCCGACAACGTCAACGACTTGCTCGAGACCCACATTCGAGCAGGAGAAGCATACTTGAGCGTTGCCAGACGATCGAGACTCTGAGGTCGAGCATTCGCAGTGTTTGCGCAAAATTGCGGGCATGGCCTAAGCAGGGTTATGGCGGATATGGGGTGAGACTAGCGTGCGCGACACGTTGTAGCAAGGAGACCCTTCTGCTGATTCGGCTCGAGGATTCTTGGCCAGGCTTGGGAAGGTCCTGCATAGTCTCACATGACGGGTGCAGAGGCGGCCCCTGCACTGTCTTTGCCACGTGTTGAGAGTGCTGTGAAGAGTGCTTCGAACAGTGTCGGCCGGTGTGGTGGCGTTGTGCTTCAAGCAGCGGCTGCCTCGAACCAGTCGCTGCTTTTTGCAGCTGCTGCTGGTGGACTGGAAAATGGGGCCGAGAAGATTTCACTGAGAGACGCTTTCGAAGTGGCTTCCGTGACCAAGATAGTGACCGCTACAGCTGTCATGCAGTTGGCAGACGAGGGGCTATTGCACTTGGACCAGGATTTGGACGAGGTCGCTGAAGGCCGGGTGTCCGTCCTGATTCAGGAGAAGGTTCCGAAGTGGCCATTGAACAGACTCCGCGGCGTCACCATAACGCAGCTGCTTCAGCACACCAGCCGGTCACCCAGAAAGCTGAGCCGCGGCAGTGCAGAAACAACACGTGAAACCATCGGAAGACCCCGTTTGATTGGATATGCCTTTAAATTGGAAGTCACGATGCAAGACAAGATGGATGCAACGGCAGAGAGAGAGAGAGAGAGAGAGAGCGAAGATATGACGATTCCTTTCCCCGGTAGCCTATTCAATATGGCTTTTGCATTGGAATCGTCTACCTTCGTTCTTCACTCCCCACGCCTGATTAAGAAGATCGGGTGGGCAAATTTGCTTGGGGACGTTGACCCGTCCCTATGCCCGGGAGAGAGAGAGAGAGAGAGAGACCCCTTCGCTCATAGCCCTTCCGAAAGAAAGAGAGAGACAGAGAGAGAAGGGAACCCCTAGTCACCAAGTGTTTCAACACTTTTAAGACGGGCCGCAGGAGCCATTCCAAACCTAACGCCGTTCCCCCTACCTGCCCTACCTGGGGCGTAGACTCTCCAGTCTTTTCCGTACCTCGACAGTTTTGACTAATTCAGCCGGTACCACAGAAGGACCCAACGTACTTGCACGGGGCGCCCTGCCTCGCCCCCCCCTTTTCAGTTCAGGTTCTTTGACTTCGGTAGGTTCGCTCTGCCGCCTGTCTTGAGGATGTGTTGGTTTGGGGGTTGTTTTGGAGCCCTATTTGCCCAATCTTGTTGCCGTGCCTGGGTCCTTTACTTATCCCGCATTTCCATTTCATCGGGGAGTTTGCCCGCTTAAGTCTTTACTATTTGTCCTTGACCTGTTCTTTATTTGTTCGTGCAGTTGTCATGCCCCAGCACAACTCCTCGCCAAACGAAGCGTGGTAAGCTCGACAAGCCGGAAGTCCTTTGCTTGTTATACTTCCTTTTGTTCGCATGTTCGCAGTTGTGAAATTGTGGAGCCGATTTGCCTTCGTGTAGCTGTTTTGTCTCTCCAGCCCCTCCAAAACGGTCGGGGGCGCTTGAAGCGCGCGGGTAAGGGGAGCAATCCCCTTGCCCATAGCCCTAACTTGTGGGCACAGGGGTTCCCCCTTGTGCCCACAGCCCTGGCGAAAGAAGAGAGAGTTGCAAGACACGAACTACTACAGCTTGTTTCCGCAACCTTACCTGTTGTGAACGGCTCTGTCCACAGTGCGATCGACGATGATAGCTTGTAGTTGTAGTTGATACCGTCATGGCCACATGTGGACGACGAACGCCGCCACAAACCTGCTGGCCACCTTCTGATCAGGGGGAAAAGCTTGGAGTTGATGAACTGTTCGTCTACCGTAGGGCAGTTCCTGAAACGAATTCACAGGATCGAAGGTGAAGAGGTCAAGGGCAGAAAATGACATCACTGGGAGGCAAGATTCAGTAGAGTGAGACTTCATGGACACAGCATGGTCGGTGACCAAGGTTGGGGAACACATGTTAAACGCCAGCGTGCGCGCATGGGCTAAGGCGGTCTTCCAAACTATTGGAATGGCCCTTTCGTCAAGACATTTGAAGCCGACCCCGACAAAGCGTGGTCCACCTGGGAACTCTTGGGCTATGCAGCGGACATGAAGGAGTCTTGCCCTTTGAGCAACAGAGGGTTGCCCGGTTCGTTTGACTATGCCGACACGAACTACTTGCTACTGGGGCTTGTGCTGGAGGCACTCACAACCAGCAAGCTGCCAGAGATATTTCGAGCTAGGGTGTTCGATCCAGCAGGAATGTCCAGAACAGGCACATACTGCAGCTTTTTGGAGCATAGCCCGCAAGGTGCACCTCCAATGGCAAAGCGCTATGTAGGACACACGCAGATTACAGGAAAAATGCAGCATTCAGCTGACTCTTTTGCCGCTGGTGGGATCGTCTCTACAACCAGTGATCTTCAAAAGTTGATGGCAGCACTTGCGTGTGGTGATCTCTTCCCCATCGGCGGCAAGGCTACGCTTGAACGAATGATGTCATGGATTCCCGCAAAGCGCGGAGCTGGTTTCTACTATGGCCTTGGCCTGATGCGTGTTGATCTGGATGCTCAAAAAGGTATCTTCAAGCGCTGCCTCTCAAAAGGGAAGCCGCGCGGCTTCATTTGGGGGCATGAAGGCTTCGGGGGAGCCTTCTCCTGGTGCTGGGTTCCGGGCGACAGCAGACCGGACGTGATCATATCTGGTTCCACCAACAATGAGGGCAGGAGCTATGGAGTGCTCATTGAACAGCTTGTGGATGACTTAGAGCCGCACCTGGCCACCTTGAATCTTGAAGGGCGGCTGGAGAGTCCTGTAGTCAGTACCTAAACGGTATCGTGTAAAGTTGCATGATGCGCAAGCTGTGCTGACATGACTTGTCGGCTGTGCGAGGGCCAATTAATCTGTTCTGTGCCGGTACTGCGACATCATCTTTTGTAGATCGTGCAACAGAGCACGGTGCAGTTCGGCGAATGAGCCTGTGGAGCCGATGGAACTCGGGCGAGACCGACAAAATAACAAATAAATAGGGGCAATATGATCTTTGGAGACGAGATAAAATATCTAAATGAAAAAACAGAGGGATCAAATCGATAAGATAATCTGATTTTATTTAATAAGCTGATAGATTTGAATATATTGTCAATTTGAATACTATATATTAGATATGTATATATATATATAGAGCTAGATTAAATTTTATACGATATAGTTGGCGATAGATATTTATGGGATTCCCAATTAAAAATATTTTCTTATATTTTGAGAAAGTTTTATGAAATATAAGAAAAAATTATCTAGAATATCTATACGAGAATATCTAAATTATATCTACGATAAGATAGTTAATAAATTTCTAGAAAAACAATTAAAAAATCTTATTATAGAAAAATGGAAATAGTTTAAGATATTATTTCGGCAACGGAGAAATCTAAAGGTGGCATAGAGAGATAGGGATAAATAGATAAATAAATAAATAAATATATATATATATATATAGAAATTATTTCATTTGTTTCGAAGTTTGATTTTAAATATATATAATTATATAAATTTTGATGAGATTATGATTATCACTTTAAATTTCTAACTATTATATCGGGACTTATAATTCATGATGAATTTTCTAATTGAGATATATTTTATTATAGTTATTTGATATAAATAAATATAAATATATATATATATTTGATTTATATATATATATATTTATTTATATATATTTTGAGATAGTTTAAAAGATTCTTTATCTATTATCTTTTGAATAAGACGACAAATTAAATTAATGGAGATATTCGTATCTTTCATTATAGCGTTCTCATTATGAAGATAAGAATAATTATATAGATATAGAAGAATCGTAGGCAAAGATATATTTTCTTTGGCAAGATTTATAATTTTCGAATTTAGAATAGCTGCACGTGTCCTTATCCTTGATATTCCGAATCTAATGATGCCATATATATTATATCGTATCTAATTCCAATTAATTACCAATCGAATATCGAAATTATTTCAAATTTGAGCACATTTCATTTTTTGCGCTTATGATATACAACCAAGATCTGATTTGAGAGGATAAACAAGATAGAGCAAAAGCATCGAAGAGCTTCCATCTGGAAGAAAATTATATAATATCTTTTGATATTTCAAATTAGTAATCGTGAACATGTCCGGCAAATAGCAATTCGGCGCATGTGGTCGCCAATATGGAGAGCCAAAGGAATACAAGATTGAGAAATTGGATTTCGCATATTATGAAATAAGTTGAATTCGGTCCGAGATCTGGTATACGTATATAAATATAATGATTGAATTAATTAATGAATAAATATATATATATATGTGGCAAGGACCTTTATATTCTATTTGACGTATTGCTTTGCTGATAC